GGATTCCGTGGCGAGACAGGACCAAGTGGACCCCCGGTGAGTTGCCTTCGGGATTGATATTATTGCTTGGGTGTAGAACTCTACCTGATAGCGCGTTATCATGGCTATACTGGAATTAGGCTTGTTTAGTTGGATAAATGCCAACTCTAGGGCTTAACCATTTACATCCCGGCATAAGTGTGATTGCTCTCCACACTGTTTTTCATACATTTCCTATGGTGTTGATTGGTAGAATTTAATCAACAGTCAAGAGCTTCTTTAGTTGGTGATCATTTCCTTTATTCTCATGAACTTAAACACCGTGAAGATCGCCCAATCTTCTGTTGCGAAAGAGGGAGCACTACAAATATTTCATGTGAACAGGACTTCTTCGGAATATATTCAAAACAATAGAGGGACCATCGCTCTTCATTCGAAACAATCTCGGAATATTTAGAACATCAACTCGGTTGATAAAAACAAATTATCTTGTTGTATTTTCGCACCGACGCATACCAAAGTTTCCTTAGAGACTAGCCCCCATTATTCAAATTCAAACTGTCGAGTAGTACGCAGAAGGCGCTGAATTGTGCAGGTACAACTCCATGACATGGGTATTTCACCCTCTGGGAGTAGCTGGTACGTTGGCCCGGTATCACTGTAATCTGCACACATTATTTTTTCTGAAATGGAGGGCGTAATCCCAGTCGAGGTCTGTTCAAACAGATTGCATTTCCTATTCCATTTCCATCATGTATAGTTTTTTTGAGTCGTTTCAGATGATACTCAAGCGAAGGTAGCCACAGTGATCGAGAATTGTCTGAAATTTCACGGAAAAGAACTGCATGTTACAGTCAAAATCTCGCTTGGTTAATGACCACCTGGGTCTTCAAAACATTTAGAGAGGTTACGAGCAAGAGTTCCCTACAAAAAACTACTAACGCGGATTGTTTTTCTGTTCTTAGGGACCTGTTGGTATAAGAGGACCAACTGGGCCTTCAGGACCTCCTGGACCACCAGGGCTACCAGCTGCCCCAGGTTCAATAACAGCTGTAAGTGTTACTTGTTCAGCACGATCCCGGCTTTGCAAACTAGCAAAGCTTAACTCAGACCTGATAAGTGATTAGAAAAAGGGTATAAGGAATTTCTATTTAGCATTGATGGTAATCCAAGACTGCGTTGTCTCTGCTTTCACTTGATTAGTGGGTCAGGAAAATTCCTGTCACTCCCTCAAACAATTACACAATTGCGACCTCTCAAGCGGAGTTTTCCCGCCTTTCGCTTGATTCTCTTTAGCTCATCGTCAGATTTTTCTCTTAGTTAATTGTTGTAATACTTTGATTCTGAAAAATAAAAATCTCAGATCAGTCGCTATTTCTCGAATAATTTTTGAGTGTTGCCGACAACGATCATATACTCAAGGACTAATACAAAAAAAACCAATTTATTTGATGTTGATAAAGTTCAAGACAAACGAAAAACCCATGTTCTTTGTAATAATGAAACATCTTATTTGATCTTTGCAGACTCTTAATGGCCTCAAAGGGCCATACATGGTGCCCACCATAATCTCTGCAGGATCTATCATTCCTTCTCCTGTAAGTTGAACTTGCTGAGTTTTTTCAATCGTTCTTTTTAAAGGCTCTTACTTACCATAACTTAGTAACAAGTAATTTGTTGAATCTCTACCTTGCTGTCCAGACTGGAAACTAGATCAGAAATGATCACTTGACATAAACTTCCCAGCAAACTACCACTAAGTATTCGGGTTGACAACAGGCCCATTATGATCACCGTCATGTTCATCATAGACTTTTCATTCCGATTGTGTTGTTTTCCATTGCGAATGTCTTCGCCGTAAATATGTGAGCTGTTATTAGCCAAATCATGACCACCTTCATTTCCACAAGAACTAGCATGCCAACAGAATTATCATTTTGAAGAGTTTACACCTACTGAAAAACAGTAACACTAGGGAAATGTCCCCATCTTGAATCTGTATTCACTGTGAAACAATCTATAGACGCATATCTATAACTCAACATGAAATAGCTTTTTATTTTATGGTTAATAGATTGGATTGCAAGGACGTCAGGGTCAAAGAGGATTAATTGTAAGAATGATTTTGAACTAACAGTTGCGATATTAATAGTACTGGCAATGCTTTAACCGAATTACATTTATGAAATCAAATATCATCAAACAGCGATTATCCCTAAAGCTTAATTCATGGAGTTTTAAAGCTCTACTGGCCTTTCTTATATGATATCACCAAAGTAACTTTGAGCAGACACTAGTGTTGTTTTATTCATTTTTTTTGTTTTGTTTTGTTTTATTTGTTTGTCTGGGTTTTTTACTTGTTTTTTGTTTTCTCAGATGCCACGTGCACCACTGCCTAAGTTTTCTTCGTATGCCTAGCTTCACCTTCAACGCCCTAGCATCAGAAAGCATATTTTCCATACTGTTCTTGATACATTTTGTAAAAAGCTAACTAGGAGAATTTGTTTAACAATCATGAGCAATTTTAGTTGGTGATCATTTCTTTTATTCTCGTAACCTTAATGTTTAATTTAGGAGTAACATTGTGAGGAGAAATTAGATGCTAGTCGATACTACTCGGTGTCAAAGGATTTAGACAGGAAAAAACACGAGAGCGTTGTTACGAACTCCAAATAATCGAACAAGTTATCTCAATTTTGACGATATACGCGCTGTAGTTTCTTTCAAATATCTGATAATCGGCTTTTCCAGGGTGCTATTGGGGTTGCTGGAATAACTGGACCGGATGGAGAACCAGGAATACCGGTGAGTTAAATTTTCCATCACCTCAATTTCAAAAAGCAAATGTTTCATTCAAGTAACGCCTTTTCAAATACCCTATGCTGTTTGTTATCAGGGAGCTGTTGGACCGCTTGGAGCCAGAGGAGATGCTGGATTCCCTGGGATTGACGTGAGTGTCACTAATCATCAACAAAACTTCCTTCTATTGCTTAGATATTCCTTTATTCATTTGGTTGGTACCTCAATGTGAACATCTTTTTCTACCATTTGTCACAGCCTCTTTTTGCATTTTATAGGGGTGATGTGCGTTCCTTATGCCCGCACGCTTCACTCCAGACCCTGGAGAGGTCCTGGTTCAAATTTTGGCTCGGTCACTAAGTTGTATTATTACCAAGTTTCAAAAATATTTTCCTTTTTAATCCTACTTAACAGGGAGACCCTGGACCTAAAGGACAAACTGGGCCCCCAGGCTATCCAGGAAGTACGGTGAGTCACAGTCAACCCAAAAATACACTCCCTTCAGTTTTGGAAATAAGTGAACGTAGGTTCTATTTCAAGTAATCACAAAAAAATAAAAGAAATTGCAAAAGTTAATAATATCGAATTTCTCGCTCAGATCAAAGGTAGACACTGTTACTTACTTGCGAATTCAATTCAATTTACCAGGGGGGTATAGGTGATGTCGGTGGAACAGGTGCCCAAGGATCAAGAGGTCCAAAAGGTCGAAGCGGAAGGACTGGAGCTGAGGGAGAGAGAGGAGAAGATGGTGATGTGGTCAGTAAAGCCTTAGTTGTCCGATGATAGTTACATGTAATTTACTCTCGTTGCCTAATACCCTCCTTCGCTGCTGTCAAATGGCTTTTTCACGTAAGGGGAAGCCACGCGTTGTGTGACGCCATCAAACAAAGGCTGCAAAGGAGACTGATCGAACGATCACGCCATGATTTTGCAACGTCACACAATGCACTTGACATTTAGTCGTAACGTTCATGTGTCATGATTCATAGTGAATAAAAAAGACGGTAATTTTTTATGCTCGGCCCTGGCCCTCCAAGGTTTGTGTCTCCATTTCTCTTGGGAACATATTATTTGTCCCATGCTCTTATCAAAACCAAAAAATCTCCTTTCATGTCACATGCCATTTTGTCAACAAAGGGCACGGTATTTATTCGATAAAGCGCCCAACCTCGAATAAGCGCCCACCCCCTCCCCCCCGCCCTCTCCTTCCCTTGTAGTCCTTTCCATGAAAGACCCAGCTGACGCTGGAATTTCTTCCCTGATAAAGCTTATCCTAACCGTTATTTAAAAGGTTTAACTTAATATTAGTGTACAGTTAAAAAAGAAAAAAGGGAAGGGACTCATTTACTTAAGCAGAAGTATAAAAAATTAACTGACCACGACGGTTCATTTATTGCAGGGTCAAATGGGAACAATGGGTCGACCAGGGAAGGATGGCGAAATGGTACGATATCATTTGCTTGTTACTCTACTTGCTTAGTTTCTTAGCTTGATTTTCCGTCGATTTCTTGGGTCTGGCCTCCATCCTCCCGACAAGAGGAAGAGCACCAGCTCAATTCCTAAACAGCGGTTGAAAATCGAGCCTACCTTGTTTCCTGTTCGCTTGCTAATTTCCCGGTTAGAATTCCCTTGTTTCTATCGGATGAGGCCAAGACTTCAATGTTTTTGTGTAGTACTTAAATGTTTAGTGGAACTGGTTTTTCGGAAACATCTCGATAACTGATGAGTTTGGTGAAAGTAATATACCTGTTTTCAGCGTGAGAGCAAACTCATTATTAGCGATTTAACACGAGGGTTTCTTCACCTGCGGGAAAGAATGACGCCCTAACCCTTCACACCCTGAAATCAATATTCATATTCTCCATACTGTTTTCTGTACATTTACTGAGGTGTTGACAAGGAGAATTTGTTTAACAATCAAGAGTTTCGTTAGTTGGTGATCAATTCCTTTATTCTCATGACATTAATGTGTGATTCGGTGGTGATTATGTATGGAGAACTTAGACGCTAGTCACTCCTAGTGGTTAAAGGGTTAGGTAACGCGAACCGGCGAGATATCTGCAAAGGGTCTAACACTGAAAATAAGTGCCAGACGTCTCAAATCTTCCCGCTGACAGCCGCGGAAAAACGGATGTCCTGCAGCACTAATAATGAGGGCGTGTGCACAGGCTTACCAAATGTGTACTTACGCTTTTTTTCTTTTTTCTTTTTTCTTTTTTTTTTTTTTTTTTAACGAATGGGGTATGTGTTGAACCTCTACACTAAACTAGAAATTTTTCTCAATGCCGCAAGGTTGAAAGAAAGTCTTCGTTTATTTAATTTTCAGGGTCAGCAAGGCAAGAGCGGATTTTCTGGAACAGTCGGAAATCGAGGACAACAAGTGAGACCAAAGGAATTCTTGCTTGAAAATTTAATTCACTTTGGAGCGCTTACGTGAGAGTGTCAATGGGGTTAACCTATAGCCGTAAACGGCCGAAAAAATTTTAGCGGTTAGGCGTAAAAATTGAAAAATTTTAACCTTTAGCCGTAAAAAAAGGGTTAGCTGTAAAAAAGAAATTCTAGTGACTACAATGGAAAGATATTAACCGTTAGCCGTAAATTGACCAAAATTTTAACCATGTATACAACCTTGTACGTTCCCTTAAAAATGGATGAATTCATAAATACCATTATATATCTTCCCTTAAATACGTTTTATGGAATTTAGAAACACCATTCTTCTTCGCATAACTCGTTTCAGTTCGTATTTACACTTAAAGCATTCATCGTTTCATCAATTTTGTTTACCACGTCATTTAGGGTATGCCAGGTGAGCAAGGTACGCCGGGAGATGTGGGTGCACAGGTGAGTGTTAATACAGTTAAAGATCGTTGTAACTGTGTATCTGTGTTTCCACAGGTGACAGAGCTCTAACCTCACCCCTTACCCCCCAACGACACCGTGGGTGGGGTTGGGTGACGGGGCAAAGCACTTTACGTATACTTACGGAAATAACCGTAAGAGCAGCACAAATTTCGCCGTGTACAAATTCAGTCGTATGATTTTCTCCATAAACCGTTCATCAGGATCGAGCTCGGAGAAATTTTTGTCGTAAAATTGTTTAGATAATTTCTTCAGCCTACGAACTATGTAGAGGACATTTTAAGAGATTTGGAAGGAGCATTGCTCTTCGCCTCGTATGCGATGAACCCCTTTTTCTTAACGTTTTAAAACGCTCCAACATCTTTTCAACCATTACCAACGATACCAATAAGCCTTTATTTTGATTGACAGGGTGTTACCGGTCAAACAGGTTCCCCGGGGGCACCCGGTATTGCGGGACAAAAAGGCTCTAATGGCAATCCGGGCTCTTCCGGTGACGTTGGCTACACTGGTGCTACTGGGGATACGGGTCCTCAGGGACCCCAAGGAAAAAACGGAGAACTGGGAGAACAAGGACCAGGGGGTGAAAAAGGAGCCGAGGGTTCCGGGGTAAGAGATGAAATAGACTGCTATGACTTTAAAGTCTTTTGCTTTCAGCGTAATTATTCAAGGAGAAGTATGCTTCAGAAACGAAAATGAATTTAACCCCTACCATCAAAATACAAACATGAAGTTATGACACTTTTCACTTTTTGAGGTTTTAAAGCTTCCACAACCTTTTGAAGGATTTATTCAAGTGTACCATGAAATTCATTCATGGAGCCCACCATTTTGAATCGTGTTTAGCAACCAGGCCTCATTCCTCTCTTCGTCAATGTTCCAAAATTGGTTTTGATATCAAGGAGCTGCAAAGCAAGTTAAAAACAAATTTACTCTGTGGAATATCAAAACTCGGTAAAACTTTTAATATGTGTTCGTACTTGTTAGCGGCAGAGATAAAAAAAATTATATGGTCTCTGTAACATACCTCCCCTCTCGGTTGACGACTTAGGGTGACTTCGGACCACCGGGAGAACAAGGAGAGCAAGGCCCCCCTGGAGAGCAGGTAAAGCGATAAACTAGAGATTGTGTTTTTTGATTATAGGACAGTAAAGTTTAAACCAAATTCGGATCTCGAACATTTTCCAAAATTGTGTGATTTAACAAAAATCAAGTATCAATCTTCAACGGGCCAAATCCGCCCCGACAAACTCGTAGCCATTCACGCCAAAACTTAAACATGTTTTGAAGATATTTTGTTGAACACGCATTAAAACTGTTTTCCTCATCGAAGCTGCTCAGATGAATATATAATTTCACTCCAATTTTAGCATATCGAAAACACAAGTTAGTGACTTATTGAATGCTATCGAAAATTCAGTTTTTCAGTTCTCTGTATTTTATTCAGTTAAATACGGCTTAACTAAACATGTTTTGTGATGTGAATGGGGCATAAGTTTATAGAACAATGAAGATTTCTATATGTCGTCACTTTTACCGTTTAGTGGTTGAATTTAGCAGTACAGTTAAATTGCTTTGTCAACGGTAAAGGGAAGTTTTATTTTTGCTTGGATCGTTTTATCTCCTGATAATTTTATGACTTTACAGGGTGCCCCAGGGGATACTGGGCCGACAGGACCACAGGGAGGCCTTGTAAGTGCAAATGGATATTTCTTATATTGGATTTACGACAACGACTCGTGTTTTTTTTCTATACGTCAATCGTTGGCCGGCAGAATTGTCGTACCGAACAACTGGCGTTACCTAAGCTTTACTTACTATCAAAATTATTCTTACAACCAATGAAAACTTAGCTTACTCACAACACTATCACGTAACTCACAATCAAACATCTTTTTTTCATTATTTTCACCTCTCATACAGGCTACAACATGATTTCGAGGGCACTTTGGTGTGAACAAGCACGAATGAATGAAAAAAGCGTAACAGAAAGTCAAAGCGTACGAATTTTTTCCGCGCGAGCGTGCCATTTGTAATTTACACTCGCGTAACAGAATAAATGCACTCGTTTTCGGCCAATCAGAGGCGTATAGTTTTTCATGTATATTCTTAATGCTTAAATTGTACTGTCAAGTGAAACACTTGAATCTACTATCAAAATGGCCGTTTGTAAATAACTCTCCATCCTTTGAAAGGGTTCAGAAGGACTTCCCGGTAAAGCTGGATCCCAGGGAGCCAAAGGAAAACAGGTTTGCCCATCCTTAAGTGTTTTAAGTTTTTGGAAACTTCCGTCCACTTTCGGAAGGTTCCGTCCACACTTCCGCCCGAATTCAGACACTTTCCGTCAGACGATTTTTAACGACGAAAATTTGCAATTCTAGGGTGAAACAGGTGTCCAAGGAGGCACAGGGTCGCCAGGTTCTGCCGGTAAAAATGTGAGTAGGTGTTTCTGTTTTTGTACGTTTATTTCTCGTAAGAAACTTTTATTCTATTTTTAACCTTAAAGGGCGCAATCTGATGAGTCTATGGTGACAATGAACAAATAGTGGATACTAGATCAGTCCTTCATCACTGTATGGGTCTAACATATTTGTGTTTTTTAATTCATCTGTGTTGGTGCCTCTGTTGATATGACTCACTAACTCGCTGACCATTGATTATTTTGTTGTTGTTTTATTGCAGGGTAGCCCGGGTGGGCTTGGTTCCCCTGGTACTTCAGGTTACACAGGATCAATGGTAAGACAAGCTGTGAAAGATAATGTTAGTTTGCGAATAGCGCAACCATACTTGGAGAAAAAGAACTCAGATTGGTCCCTATAGGTGCTGAATCCACGACCTTTTAATAACTTCTTCGGTTGCTCTACCACTGAGCCAAAGGAGACTCATGGCAGACTAAGCCGTTTAACTAGATCCATAGTCACAAACTTACCTCATACGGCATGGCAAAGGATAGGAATGTCGATATGTAGTGCTTCTGCACAATAATGACGATGAACAACTAATTTGTTTGTTCCTCTGACATAAAAAATATAGACTTTTGAAGCAGATCTCAATCATTTTGAGCCCACAATTCTGTTTCTACACAACATGGAATTGGCAATCTACACAACAAAACTCTACATGGTATTTAAAGTCTATTGCATTTTTCAGGGAGAAGCAGGCGCTCAAGGTGAAAGAGGGTCAATCGGCGAGAAAGGATTGCAGGTATTGTCATTTGATAGGGACATTCCGAACCTGATTTTCAAGTTGAGACCCTGGCTTGCTTAAATGTGGCAATTTGAGGTATAGAATTAATTATCATGGCATATTAAATTGATATGTTTACTTTGCCATCATCTTTTCAGGGAATTGTTGGAAATCGAGGCTCAAGAGGATCTCGAGGTCAAGCGGGCATGCAGGTGTACCTAAGGGCTATTCTCAGTTTTCTTTTTTTTTTTTTTTTGGATAATCAAATTTTGAAAATTTTTTAAAGCACATCCGGTGCACACAATACGAGTAATATCCTTTCCTTGTAGATCGATATCATGAAAAATGATGCCACATGGTATGTATTTCCTTTAGCACAAAAATGGAAAATAATCAACAATGAATAAAATTGCTTTTCAGGGGGTACCAGGAACACAAGGCCTTACAGGATCACAAGGAGAGCGGGTAGAAGATTCATCTTTTCCTCAAAAATTGAATGAACAATCAAATGTTTTCTTTTAAATAAGAGGTTATGCATGGTAGTTATAGCTGCCTCTAAATTACTTCTAAGACAATTGGAAAACGTTTACGGCCTAAATTGAACAAAATTTTTCTTGGTGAGATGCAAAGTTATTTAATATTTCATAATTTTGTGTAATATACCTACCAGGTGATTTGTACATAAATTAAATTAGTCTGTCTTTATTTAAAGGATAAAATTACGCTATAAATAGCTTGTGATCCTTCACTAAACCCCACCCGTGTTTTCTCTTTCCTTTTTTGCTCCGGTGTTACAGTAATAATTATATCTCGTTTCCTTTTTTTGTTGTTTTTTTGTTTTTTGTTTTTTTTTTGTTCTGTGAAAGTCATTGGTCTCATTTCATACATTATGCAGGGTGGTAGAGGTCGAAGAGGATCGCAAGGAAAGGCGGGAAAACCTGGAACTCCTGTTAGTATGCAACCCTAATGTTGGCTAGCTTGGTTTGTTCACATCATTTCAATAGGTTTATGTTTTTGAAATTGCTTTATGGCATTAGGAGGTGATGTAATTGTTGTATTTTTTTTAACCCTCTTTACTTCGTAGATAATTCTGCCATTCCCGTAATTTATAGAGAATTTTGAAATCATGAATTTACCTGTTCGCTATCAAACTTGTCACTGAAATAAATGATAGTAATCAGGTAATATTTTAATTTCCTCAGGGAGCGCTTGGCGAAAATGGCACACCGGGAACATCAGGCCAGATGGTATTTATAAGAAGAGTTACTAGTTCAATTTTTTTCGTGCTCTTGATTATTTTCGTGTTAAAAGTAATTCTTATTGTATTCAGGGCCCTTCAGGAGTTTCTGGACCTACTGGAATGCCTGGAGAAAAAGGAGCTCAGGCAAGTGAATTGACCTTGTAACTGTGTCAGTTGAATATCCACCGTTCCTTGCAGTCCTGCATTTCTTGTTCCTCCAAATTTTCCGCGTAGCAGTTCGCCTTTGGACCTTGCATGTCCAATCTTGAAAACAATAATGGAATATGGACTGATACATGTTACAATTATTTTTTATTCTCTTTTTTTCCCTTTTTTCGCTTTAGGGTGAGGAAGGTCCCCAAGGAACTCGTGGTGAGGCTGGACCAATTGGGGCAAAGGTAATAATCAACCAATTTCTTTGGGAGCCTATCTTATATATGTTATAATTGGAAAATGTTAGCTTCAACTATCTTACATCGATGAAGCGATGTTACATCCAACAACAAAAACAACACCCCAAATCTCTTAAAACATCTTATAAAATATATTTATCTCAAAAACTGCTGCAGACATTGCATAGAGTGTTAGTTGTATATGCCACACATGCACATGTCCACTCATCATATTTTGTGGTCCATGGCTCACGAGCTCAGCCATCAGGGCCCGTCAGCCGTGAAAAAAAATCGAGAATTGCAACACACTATGGTAACTTTCCACAATAATTGATATTTACCAGTGCATGAAGCCATAGACAAATTTGAATTATGATATAGAGATAGATTAAATTTAAACAGATGAAAACTTTGTCTTATAGGGTGAGTCAGGACCAACTGGGAACCAAGGCTCACGTGGATCGATGGGAGAGCAGGTTTGTTCGTTACATTTTTATTATTATAGTATATTGTTTATTTGATAATTTATTTTGGTTGACCCTTAGAAATCCATTTTAACTTCCTCACAAAAAATGAATTGTGTCATGGTATTCCTGCGCAGAATCCCTCTGCAAGGTGCAAAATTTGTAGAACTAAGTATTAAACTCGACACGAAAGGAAAACAGCAGGATAATTTTTTTAATTTACGAATACAATTCTACTGTTTGGTTATAGTCTGTCCTACGCTCTTATTTCAGCTGTGCTCCATATGATGATCGCAGGGAAAGCAGACAATAAACGAACAGACATGTTTTTGTATTGTGCAAAGACCAAATATTCTCGACCTCCTGGTGCTAGAAAATAAAAGCAAAGTATAGTAATAGCCATGTTCTGGAATTCACTGATTTTGATTTTTCTTCTTTTTTTGTTGGTTTCCTTTAGGGAATTGAAGGCCCTGCTGGAGAAAGTGGATCAACTGGAGAAGATGGTGATCAGGTTAGCTCCTATGGAAATAGATAAAATATTTGGGGACCTCCACTTTGTGCAAAAAAAAAATTAATAATAATAATTATCTAAACTGCTATATTTTACAAGGATTTCCAGCCCAGAGAAAAGTCGAACTGCACACGTGTAAAGTAACGATAATTTTTAACATGTATTTGATATTGCCAATCAGCTGCTGACACATCGCTCGCCTTTTTGCCATTCTGGTCAGGTTGACGAATGAATGGCAAAGCGTTCACCATTCTCAATCCAAGGTTGTTTGTCGAAATTCTTTCTCTTCTTTCTAGTTAAGGCCTTTGGTGTTTATGTAACAAACAAAAGTAATACATGATTGCTTGTGGAAATGGAATTCGCCCTCTCGTATTCAACTCGAAGACAAATTCCATCTCTACGCGTGCCCATGTTTATGAAATATGTTGAAATCTTAAAAATTGTCATCTACATGTTTATGCCTGTAAATCTATAACCGCTCGTAAACAATTCAGCCAGCTGGTGTTTTGACGTTTTGACCCTAATTTTTTTTCCTTGATGCCTCGAAAATCAGTCATTTCAACCAAAGTTGTTAATAAGTGCCTGGTCTCCAGAAGTGCTCTTGTTTTTTTTTTTTTTACTATCATATGTACCATAACTGTAACATTATTGAGTCATTACTAATTTAAAAACTGTCGATTCGACCAGTAAAATGGCGAAACCTTGAAATTTCAAATAATGGAATATCGATTCTTTCTTCTTGTTTAAACCATCCTCTCTTTCTGAATGTAAGGGACCCACGGGGACTCCAGGAGATGTTGGAAAAGCTGGTTCTTCTGGATCGGAGGTTAGTACTGGTTTTGGATATTTCCTGAATGGCCTGGGAGTCACTTTACATATATGGCTAACATATGGCAACAGAACGTTCTGTCTGTAATCATACTGGTGGTTAACCGGTCGGATTCTTGCTTCACAGTCGTCACCGATTTTGTTAATCGTTCGTATGAATACAGACTGAGTTTTACTTTAATTAGTGAAATTGGTATTATTAACATAAAAAAAAAATTCGCAAACATTAAACCTGTTTCTTCTTAATTACTAGGGTGCAAAGGGAAATGCTGGAACAAGTGGCCTGCCTGGAAGAACGGTACCTCTAATTAAGAACTAACATCCTTTTGTTATATCCGCAAAGAAGCATGTTACAGAATACAATATGGTCTTTATCATATGAATTTAAAACACTGGTAAAAAGTTCAAGACATATTCAAAAAACATCTTAAAATCTGATGCATTATTTTGAATGAGAACTCTAGCCCTCATCACGGGAGAGTGATGTGAAAAATTTTCCAGAAAAATAAAAACGATTGTATTTGCAGTTCAAATGTAATGTAAATTTGAGCAATTGTTATGATGATTAAGTCTTTTCCTCGTGTGCCAAATGAATGCCATCGTCTCGATTCAGCGGATTCCTGCATGCAAGTGTTTATCTTCGATGCTTCTACAAGCCTTTGGACCGCCAATTTGCACTTGCATGGATATTTTAGGGAGAAGTTACGAAGGCGTCAAAGGGTTAATATGTCTATGTTTTCAGGGAGCGCCTGGGTCATTTGGGTCACCAGGATTATCTGGAGAACAAGTAAGTAATGTTCACACGCGGCTTGGTGCATGGAAATAAATTTTAGAACGGATTAATTACCAAGAAGAACGTTTTTGTTCTAGGGACCTGATGGACGAGTGGGGGAACGAGGCGATGAGGGTAAAAGCGGCCCAGCGGTGAGTAACAATTACATGCATTGGAAATAATCGCAAGTTAAGAAGATTCACAAAAACTGTTTCTTACGGCCCTTTTTATGTTAAGCTCCATTGTGATCTGTGATCATCTACCATATCGATTATTCGATTCTGTATCCGAATGCATTTATTGGATAAATAATACCGCTACATTTACTTTCCCTTGGTATAAATACAATTGTAACTGTCCGATAACTGTCTCCTGGCCGTTCTTAAAACAAAATATATCCTGCCCGTGGTACATTACTGACCTCCAGTACCGCTGCTCTCCCCGACTTCCCCTTGGGAAGTCTAGAGTCTGTTTTAGAAAACACACTTGTTTCCTTTGAGGCCAGAAGTTAACACTTCTGAAGGAAATATTTATATTCTTAAAGTATATAATCACACTTTTTACGATGTAAGCCACTGAATTTTTATTAAAATCGATACCGTATTACGCCCTCATTTCCTATAAAAATTAGGAAAATACGCTTCTAAATTTCTCCTTTGACGATTTTAACTTTTAGCGGTTCTGTTTAACTTTAAGGGACCACCAGGGCCTATCGGCGAAGTCGGTGATGTTGGAAGTCAAGGACAGACGGTAAGGAACGAAAGACGCTTGACGTTGTTTGTCGATGTTGCTGTCCCATGTGCAGTAAATAGAACATACCAAGTCATAGAAAGGATAAATCGCTCAAAGAAAAAGACGAAAATATCTACTTTCATTTCTGAGGTTTTATTTTTCAGTGGAAGGCGACCTAATATGTAGGGAGTCAGATAAGAAATCTAAGCTGGTGTCAAACGAGGGGGGAACACTTGTTGAATTGCGTACGGTATTCATGCTTCCAAGGTGCATAAACCATAAAATCAACACACGAATGAGAAAAATAGTGTGATAACTTCACGGGATATAATTGACAGCATTAGTTTTCTATTTTATTGCAATCATCAGAAGCATGCGATCTATGAAGTTGGAGATGTGAAGCATTCCTTCTGCATTTTGAGTTCCGTCTCGACTGTTATTGAAGCAGCACGGAACATTTTCACAAGTTTGGTTCTGAACCTCAGAGTTCGCATGATATTGAAATTCTCGGTAAAATGCAACACGTAATAATTCAAAAAGGTTTTGTCATCATTTCTATCTTTTTTCATTTTCCATTTATGTGACAGGGAGGTCTCGGATCACCAGGACCTACAGGACCCCCTGGAGCAAGAGGAGGAGAGGTAAAACGTCGTGACAATGGTAGACGAAAGAATTCTTACTTACGAGGCACGAGTGCTCGAGAGACGGGCCAATTATGAGCCCACATTTAATACTGCTAGGGGATTTTGCACGTGAACAAGATTTCAAGAAGCTCTTCGCTTGCATTAACATGTATCAACGGCAAAACAACAGGATCGAATATTGCTACAATTGTCCAGTTTGTTTAACTGGAACTACAGTCATATTTAATTCATCTGCTACCTGTGTTCAGGCTCAGAAAGAGGAGAAGCAAAAGAAAAAATGCGGACTCACTGAAAATGTGAAGGCTTTTAAAACCATACCCTGTTCGGTGGTACACACTTATTCAGGCCAAATAAGGGAGTGTATCTTTTAATTATATGGACACCAATAAACTGTCAGGGAAACTTGACGACAAGCTGGAGGTAATGTGCGATGGACTAGCAGCCCCTATTTTAGAGGACTAATAGAACTCATTCTTTAAAAAAAAGACTATTGAGCCAATAGGTTTATGATGGTTAAACTTTCGCTCCTTGTCTCTGTGCAACCGAATAAATGTTCTTGCCATGTTCATGTTCATGCTTGAAATTCTTAAATTCTTTTTCTCGGTGTAGGGTGATGCAGGACCAGTTGGTCGACGCGGCGAGAATGGTGCTACTGGTCAAGCGGTATGTGAGAACTATTTTTCCTTAGAATGTCGGGTTTTAATGCTTTATACTTTTGCAGTTTGTAAATTGAGATTGATAACAGTAGAGACGAGTTTGATAAATCCTCCTAAGGGCAACCTCAAGCAGGCGATTTCATAGCACGATTGACTGATACTCCAGTGTTCCCGATACAAAACAGCAAACGTAGAGATGTTGCACTTTTAGGCTTTGTAATGGCGAGCAATATTTGCTTCTATTGTTTTAAATACACCCAGGGTGTCAGTGGCGAACTAGGAGAACAGGGAATGACGGGCGATATGGGCGTCAAGGTAAGTGTTACCAGAGATCTTTAAAAGGTTCAATGTTGCATTGTATATGGTTTATTGACCAAGAACCTGGATATCGGAAAATATTGCTACTGGTTTTTATGGCTCGAGACGAAATTAAGTATAAATGTCGAAAGAAAGCGGAGGTCCATACAACAGAAAGTATCGAGTCATCTTAACCGAACAAACTTGATTTATTACGTGGCAAATCGGTTACGCCAAGAACAGGACCAAAAATGAATTTTTTGAATCAAAATATTCATTGCAGCTGAAAGAAGTTTAAAACAGTTTTTCAGTATGTATACCGGTTACAAGGATTATGCAGGATGTATACCTGCTCACATGCAGCCAACCATGATTTTAGTGAAACTGATAGATGATGAGGAAATGTAAGACCAGATGAAGTAAAGAATTGTGTTTGGGTGCGTAGGATTTACTTTCTGGCGATACGATCGGCATGAATTGGTAGAACTCAACTGAAATGTAGGTTAATACTGCCTCACTTAAGTTAACTTATTGTGTTTTTTGAAAGGGAATTCCTGGGGACGATGGAATAAGTGGACAAATCGGCGCTAGTGGAGGCTCAGTAAGTTTTCCCTGAAATTACAGCTATATGAAGAAGATTCCTGTACGCTCTTTCGAATGCTATATTTAGAACCACTTCCTCTCAGTTTGTATTAAAGAAATAGATTATACTCTCGACATTTCTATCGCGCAATGTTTCCTCTTGCGGCCCTTTCACTCGGTCAATAAGTTCATAGTATTGCACACTTATTAGTATTGAAACTCGTGTGACTAAAGGTAAAAATTTTTGGTGTTGTTACTTTTGCTAAAAAAAAAGGAATTAGTGAAAAAACATTGTTTACGAGAGGTTCCTTACTGAGGAGAAACTTGAGTTAAGAGTTTTTTTCCATCATATAGTCCCCTGTGTTTTCACAGACCACCGAGGTAAATAACTCACTAAAAAAGACGATTAAATACGCCAGTTTTACTTTTTTATGATCCAGGGCCCACGTGGCGACCCAGGAACCAGCGGATCAGCAGGTTACCCGGGTAGTCCTGTAAGTATGTGACAATCAGATTTTCTTTTTGTGGCAACAGAGTATTAGAGCTCAATTTATTGATTGTTGGAAAACTAACGACAATCAAAGTAATCAACGGCTAATGCAAAATAAGTGAAATTTCAACCTTGATTAAGTCTCCATGAGAAAGAAAACCTCCGTAAGAAGTTTTGACAATCCAAGTTTTTCCTCGTTATGTTTTTCTAGGGACCACCAGGTCCAGCAGGGAACATAGGAGTCACTGGGCCGAATGGGGAAAAGGTGAGTGAAAATTAGTTAGTTTAATTTACGTTCACTTACATACAGCCAATTTCCTCAATAATACAAAAAGGAACGAATCAATCAAATGGCATATCTAACCTAATATGAGCTAAAATGTGCAAGGCAAAATTAGATATTCTATTTTTGATTTGTTAGGGAAAAGCATTTGGGTTATTTCTGAATGCACTCTGTCCGTAAGGTTGCATCAAATCTATGGGGCGTCATATCTAGTTGGGTGAAATTCAGAAGTTGTAGAATAAACTGTTAGTACAAGTAGTACATCGTGTTTTTTCTTCAATGTTTACTGAGTGGACTCTGTCCCCTTTTTAGGGCTCCTCTGGCGAGACTGGGCCGGCTGGTGGACCAGGGTCAAGTGGAACTGAGGTAGCATTGACGATTATGTTTCCAGAAACCTCTAGATTCATATAGTACGCCAAACTGTGAGAATCAGTCTACCTATTCATACATTCTTTCACACGTTCTATAAAATGATATAAATAAGTTATTTTGAAAGGAATAAAGCGATAAACAGTCAATTTTGTAAACTTATTTGTGCTCTTTAGGGTGCGATGGGTGACATGGGACCCAAAGGATATCGTGGTGACAGTGGAGAAGAGGTATTGACCGACTGACCATAATTTTTTCTTGATATGTCTCCTGTGTTTAGTGTAAATGAAAAATTGTTTATTTCTTTACCTTGTTTAGGGTGGAGAAGGCCAACGAGGGCCCATGGGATTACCTGGACCTTCGGGAGCAGCGGTATGTAAAAGATGACATTTCTAGGTGATAATTTTCAGAGAAAAGTATGCTTCAGAAAGCATTATATTCGTATTTCCGCCATCAAGAAGAATAATGGAATTCAAGACATTCAGGGCTTGACATTCCAAAGAGAATTTGGGAGAAACGAAGGCATCATAACAAGGAAACTGGATTATATCATTGGGTGAGGTAATTTTCTTTTGTTCCTAGGCAAGGCACTCTTGTTATGTCAAACGCAGTGACTGGCTAGGTGTATCTCTGCTTAAGGGAATGGAATGGGGGCCACTAACTATGGACTAGTATCCCATCCTAAAGGACTAGCAATACACATGAACAGCGTAAATACCCTCATTAGGAAAGAGCCAATAGGATGCTAGGACTTACCCTAACCTGGCACTGGACCACTTGCATGGTATACAAGATAATCAGGCAGAATAAGAGAAGTAAATTAATTCTGTGAATTTTTTTCTTTGTTATTTTTTAGGGGGCAATGGGGAGTGAGGGAGTGGCAGGCACTAATGGTCAACCTGGTAGAAAGGTATTTGTATTTCCTCTATTACCAGTTTGTTTTTTCCCTTCAGACAAAGTTGTTTGACTGAGTGGACATGGGGGAGAGGGCTGGTCCTTCCCTGTTGGTTTCCTTTTTTTCATTTTGATTTGCTTGTACGGATTTCTTCAATTTTTTATTTTTATTTTTCGTGGCAAACAAGTTTCTTTGTGAAACAAAATCAGAATTTCTGATTATCTAAGTGCCCGGAAAGCACTTAAATTTTAGTAAAACATTTATAAATGGAAAACCTATTATAAATTCTTTCTTAGTTCTTGCTGTTTAACAATTTATGTTTTGTGTTTATGATCCACAAAGTTCAAATGAAGTCACAACACTTTCAATTTACTGGTTCATTTGACCGCTGGGCACTCACACAGCATTCTCACATTGTTTCCTCTTTCTCCTTTTCATGGAAACTAGGGTGAGGCAGGTAATTTCGGAGGGCCTGGAGATGGAGGACCCTCAGGAGCCATGGTACACACTTTCGCTTTTGTATTGTTGTAGCCAGTTCAGAGTTTATACAGATGTTTCCTGATTCAGCGGTCAAACTTCGAAGAGATCCGTGCGCCATTTAAATTATTTTCCCCAAAATTTTCAAGGAAATCATAAGAAGCAACTGCTGTCGCTTAAAAATATGGAAGGGGGGGGGAGGGATGAAAATGTCCCTAAAAATCTGTAAAAGGAAACAAAAGTGAGGATAGGAAAACTGGGTACTTTTCGCAAGGGTCCTATGTAGATGATGTGCGTTAGGAGCGGAGGAGTAAAAAAAAAACGGTTTGGGTCACGTAATAAATTACGCGACCCGACCCAAACCTCTTTCGTTGTCCCTCTCCCGCTTCTATTACGCTGTTTACTATTTCGTTCTCTTATACCCACTGAACTTCTGGAGGAGATCACGAGCTTGAGTTCAACTGAAATTATAAATCTGCATGTTCATGGTTCGATCAAACTTAACATGCTCATGTTCAAGAAAAGTTGACTTTCCTTTCTGACGTCGTGTTAATGAATTAAATCTCTCATTCATTCTGATTATAACTCAAATTTTCATTAACCCAGGGTCGCCCTGGACAAGATGGACCACCTGGAGACCCGGGTTCCGGTGGACCAAGTGTGAGTAGTAAATTCACTTTTTTATCATCATTTATTCTTTGATGATAGCGTCACAAGGTAGGTGTTAACCATTTTCACCCGACCATCAGTATTGATATTCTCTAGACTGTTGGGGATCATTTCCTTTATTCTCATGACCTTAATGGATGTCACAGGGGTGGAATTGTAAGGAAAATATTATGCAAGTCACTCGTGGAGGTCAAAGGCAACAGGAACTTGTTACTATTATAATTTTTTTTCAGGGAACAGCAGGACCCGCGGGACCATCCGGACCACAAGGGGCTGTGGGAATGCGGGTATGACACGACTCGTAATCTAATTGCTATTGTTATCTCTTTGTGTCCTTAAATAGAAAAAGAAGGATCGGACGATTCTTGTGGTTTGATTTTTACAGGGAAGCGTTGGTCCATCTGGATCAAGAGGAGCTGTTGGCAGCGAGGGAGCAAAGGTGAGCGGGCGTTATATCATTCTTTACCAGAATTTGAAATTCAAAAACACTGATATAGGATTTTTTAGGAGGTTGACTTTACTTCAACTCATTAAAAGTAGCACCAAGGTGTATAGAAGAACACACGATACACTGTGTTCGCTTGCCTCTTTGTTCGTTTGCTCACTTATTTTCTCATCAAGTGTTGAAAATTTCTGAAGTTTTTATATTTCAAACTACAGTTTTTCTCCCCCTTCCCTCCCCTAATATAATTTTTTGCATTCATTCGCGCTGCACGTGATCTCACAACAGAAGCCAGTTACGTCCACAGACTTTGGCATTCGAAATTGATGGGGTCAAAGTTTAATATTAGTATTTGATCTTTCTTTCAGTGAAAATTTGTTTCTCGTTTGTCTTGGAATGTTAGAAGTCTCGCTTTTTTTTTTTAAACCAAATGTTATGTTTTTATCACGTAGCTGGGCTCTGACTATTTTTTTGAAAAGGATTTTTTTTATGACATGCACTTACGAGGTGATTTATGCAACTACAGGTACGTTGTCTTCTTTCAGGGCGAGTTAGGAGAACCTGGAAGTGACGGCAAAGATGGAGCCCGTGGATCTCTCGTGAGTTACCATTATTCAACTATTGTTACGCACAAATTCTCATCAGCAAATGAAACCTTTACTGGTGAAACAAGAGGCCATCAAAATGACGAATGTGTATGATGACGCTGCCTCAAAAGAGAAGCGAGAAACAAGAACTAAGCAATAAAGCAATTTTCGATTGAGAGTCGAAAGGAATTTCATTGGTTCTGCTTTACTTCGTTCTATGATTGGTCCAGAAAACTCGTGCCTCTCTCTTAACCGATCAGATGCAAAACTACAACCAATCACTACTTGATTGCCCGCGTTTTCCCACGCTTTAGGCAGATTGGTTGTTTTTTGGTATTACGACACTCGGTCGAAAAACGCTCCATTAATTTGATGTTGTACATGTGCGTCATACGAACCACTATGGCGGCTTGCATAAAACTCCAGTTTCAAAGCAGCCCATACCTGTTCCGAGTTTTCCTCACGTTCAATACTCTATTACCCTTCGTGCCAACAGATTTTAACTTGATTATTTTTGACAACTCAACGCAGAGTTGCTCCACCAGTGGGGGGCCCCACCTAAATGTGAGTGTATTCTTCTTCTAGGGAATGGCAGGACAAGATGGAATGCAAGGTGCAACAGGTCGACCTGGAAACGAAGTATGTGTCTTTAATGAGACGGTTTCTTTTCTAACTAACTGGCGAGCTCGAAAGTGTGTGATACTCACTCACACGTTATAACTGAGGTGACATGTTTACTGACATATTTATTGTGGTTGATGAATTTCAAACCAACTGAACAACTGACCGACTTAGTGATTGACTTACAAACCAGTTAAACTGACTTACCAACTCGTAGATCAGTGGACCAACTGGCTAGCTGATTGACTGACTCTCCGTCTGACAAACCGACTGATTGATAGTTAATTGGTCAAGTAATGGGTCGTATGGTCCACTGGTTGATTTACACATAGATTCATGTGTTCTTTCGTTATTTCATTTTCCAATCACCCATTTATTCTCATAGGGTGAGGCAGGTGCAAGAGGAGAGCTGGGTACACCGGGACTTCAAGGGCCCAAGGTATGCAAAAATACTCATGGACAAGTATCAGCAGCTCGACGAGGGACAAATTTTTAACCCTATTCAGATACAGGGTCTTTGTACAAAAAAAAATTACAGATGAGTCAAGAGTTACATTCAGAATTCATTCAGTTGCTGACGTCGTAAAGTTTAAGACCCTGTTAAGTTTAAGATCCTGTTAAGTTTATGACGTCTTTAAGTAAATGGCTTCGTTCGGCTGACAGCGTCCTTAAGTTAATGATTTTCTTTTTTTAATGATTTCGTAAAATTAGTCACGTTTAAATGTTGACGTTATCAAGTTAATGATGTAGTTAATCTGGTGACATCATTAATTTTTAGTTAATGATGTCATCTCATATGGTATTTGTGTATGTCACTGCTTAAAATGAAGCATAAATCTTGTTTTAAACCACAGGGAGATCAGGGTCAAATGGGCGTACAAGGTGATCAGGGAGCCCAGGGAGAGCCAGGTCTTGATGGGTCTCAAGGTGAACAGGGCAGAGACGGAACCAGTGGTGATGACGTAAGTAGCACAAATATGCAGAGAGTAGTTCAAACTTGATGCAAGATTTGTCATATTTCACCGATTTTAAACCCTAATTCTCGAATTACATGCGCTTTGCACCGAAAATTATCCTTTCCGTAGTGCTTGTCCAGATAGAAGTAGTGTTTCACGTAAAATGGTTTACAAGTAGACACATTCGCTCAGAGAAAGATCATTTACTCTTTGTGTTAATATACAACATTGTTTCAACTTAAAGTCTCGCTATTTGAGGATCAGCATAAATGGTTCAAAGTGCGCAGGTTTCGAATCATCCACAATAAAACACGACACTATACTGGCGTGATCAGAAAGACGCGCGCGATACGCGGTTCAATCGCGATATCAAGGGTAACTCGAGGAAAATCTTGCAAACATGGGGTTACTCTAAAGCACTTCTTTTGCCGGAACTCCTGTATTTGGTCTTCGAATGAATTTAAGACATATGTAATGCTGATTTAATTTTAGTATTTATTCTTATTTTATTCAGAAATAGAAAACCAGTATATGGTCAACAGAGTCTCTAAGTGATTGCATGAAAGATATTGATGAACGGACGCGATTGAAACGTACCTAATGGTCGTGTTTCTGTCGCTTAATCACGAGTAGCTACACGTGTATTTTACCGATACGTTTGCGCCTCATCATTCTAAAAGAACTATTTATATCAAGTTAGAATTTTTTATGCTGTTCATAGGGAAACCCTGGACCAGAAGGGCCAAGAGGAACTACGGGAGAAGACGGAGATCAAGTGAGTGAAACCATTGAAATATTTGGCTCATAATTAGTGCTATGTCACTTGGTGGAAGGTTCCACTGACGAGACTAATGCATTGGCAGTATCATGAGATCATGTAAGGCTCTTTAAGGGCTGAATTGTGCGAGGCATAATTGACGCTAATACAGAATTAACTGATATAGCAACGCACAGCTTTTGCACACAGCCCGTTATTGAAATTATTCGAGTCTTGATCAGCACGGCCCAGGTGATTATAGAAATGCGCGCACTCTGAATGGTCGAAGTTTACGACATATCTTATTTTTATAAATCATTGCTTTTAGTACTGAGGCGTACAGCGGTCTCTGTATAAAAGAAAGAAAATCAGGAATTGTTGGCTAGTACTCCAGTATTCATGCCCATTACTATAAACGAAAACAATATTTAAATGAAAAAACATTTTATCTTTTCGTTCAGGGAGACCAGGGTGGACCTGGAGGAGAAGGAAGTGAAGGCCAGAGAGGAGAAAAAGTAAATATTCTTGTCGATTTTTTTCTCCTTTCAAAAACCTCCAATGGTAAAAATGTCCTCTTTTTTACTTTCATTTTCTTTTATTTTTGAATACAAACAGAAGTGAACATGCTCGGCCCATGCACAACTCTTTGTTTCGTGGTGCCCCTTGCTCCAGACTTTTGAACGATACTGAGTTATTATACGTGCATAATTTTACGTCCTTACTTTGGTGCTTGAATGTTTGGATGTAGCACCTACAGTTTCCATTAAAATGATAAATGTTTTAAGGAGATTGAAAGGCGTAAAACAGAAACCTTCCCATTCGTTGAATCACTGGAACTGAGAATCATTAGCGAAATTATGGCAATATGATTTGAAATTGTGACCTGGTGAAATTTGGATTGGAGTTCTACCCCCCCCCCCCCCCCCCCTTTCCTCCCTTTCCCCGCCGCTTCATTTACCCCTTCCCTCTCCACCCATCATGACATCCTTTTTATACCTGTACTGTATTTAACATAAAAGTGGCAGACGAGGCGCTGCCGATAGCGTGCGTCACCACTGTTCCTACTACATTTTAATGTCTTCTGTAACCTATTACTGAACAAACCCACGGCAACATAGACTCTATTCTTTTTTGTATGTCAAAAAAGCAAATGGTGACGTCATCTATGCGTCTGCCGTCCAATAAATCATAAGGAAGAAAAGGAGAATTCACTCGATAAGAAACAACCAAAATGCACGTGGAATTCAGGGAGAATTTACATAACTTCAATAATAATGTATATGAAAAAATTACGCACGTCTGATTGGCTGAGAAGGAGTGCATTCTCATGTAACACGAGTGCAAAGTTGTAACACGAGTTCAAATTACAAATAGCGCGCGCGCTGTCAAAATTTACTTCTGTTACTTTATTACGGGCTAGAGAAGTTTTGTTCTCTTTGAAAAATTAACTCGTGCTTATTAACACCAAATTGCACTCGAAATGATGTTATTACCTATACATATATCTAGGGAGAAAGAGGCGAACTAGGGGATCCAGGCCCAGAGGGAAGTCCAGGATCTAAGGTAAGGTGACCACTATCATTTGTTTTACTTATTGGAGGAGATTCCTCAGGATGCTACGAAAAAGGAAATTCTGTAAAGTCCATCTGTAATGAAACGTGTCAGATACAGTAACCAATTACGGATGGGTTATCTTCGCAAACCACTGACAGCAAAGTCGTATCCTCGAAGGAAGTTCAGTGCAAGAACAATTCTTTTCCCTCAGTCCGCAAACATATTCGCTGGCTTAAATTTTTTCTTTTTTGGCTCTTTGGTTTCTTTTCTTCCTTCCATCATTCCAAAAATAAATAGCTTTTTTCTATGACAGGGCGCTCAAGGTGACATCGGCCCTCCGGGGAGCACTGGAAATGAAGGACCACAGGTAGGCCACCGTGAGGCTTAGGTAATGATAAATATCACAGGTCCACTAACTTTGCTCTCAGTCAGCCCTACATTATTCAAATGGCGCATCTTTACCGAAAAGCAAAGGCTGTTTTGAAATGCCCAAAAAATGGTCTTGCATGTCGTTCATTTAACCATAAAGGGCCGAGCCCGGCGAAGTTTGGAATAAAATTTTTTACATTAAAATATTAGCCTTCAAGACCGATATTTTCCGGTAATTGCTGTTGTTTGTCTTATTTTTATTTTAGTATGTGCTTGTTATTTTCTAATATTTCTTCAGGGAACTGACGGGGACCGGGGAATCCCTGGAATATCGGGCGAACAAGGAGAAGTGGTACGTGATACTTGACGTTCAACTTTAAACTCCTAGGATCAAAAAGCTTAGATTCATAATTATTACCTGTAAGCATCCGCTTGCGCTTTTACTGAAAGACGTAAAACAGAAGATCCCCCTATGAGGGCCGTGTGCGATGGCTCAAGAACACAACGAACAAACTTTGAGCGTGTACGAAGAGATCAATTCTGGCCAGCCGCGCTCTGATATCCCACGCAAAACAATTCCAATGGAAACATGAAAATTAGGCCAAGGTGTTTAAGGTATCAATGAGTGAATAGTTCGTTGTGAAAGTTAATCAAGATACGAACAGAATGTAGCAATATATCTGGAAGTGGACTGGTCATTTATTGGCTTTTCCTCGTATGTTGTAGGGCTCCATAGGCCCATCTGGTCCATCAGGAGTCAAAGTAAGTGAAACGATTGATTCTTAGCACTTCCAGTGAAATCGTAGATCAACCTACGGGTTAGAATTAAGGCATTCCGGAAGCTTGAGATGAAATAAGGAGCATTTTTCATTTTATCCATAAATCTATACTCCAGATAAAACTTTTTTCTCAAGGCGCACCCTACCACCCTTTGGTTTGCTTTACTCCTCGAACTCTGGCCGGGTCATAAGGAAAATGAATTTAATCCGGCATTGTCTCTCACCCCCCGAAAACTACAGGGAAACCTAAAGAATAACAGGGGGGAAGGGGGGGGGGTAACTTCGATAGACTAGCATCTCATCTAAGGGCTATGATAATACCCTTTTTCGCCTCAAGGTTCGGAAACCTGTGGGTGAGGCCACAGAGGCCAACAGGCTCATTAGCTGACTTAACCTCTGATTTTGCCTTCACCTTTTGACCTGTTGCTATGCATGCCAATATCTATAGAGTCACTTTCCCTGCAGCCGATTTGCGCATTCGTTCTTCAATCTGCTTTTATGAGCTTGAATGCAGTGTTCTTATTGTCCTTGATTTCCCCCAAATAAAAATTATAATCGAACCAGCTGGGTCAAGCCCAGTTCCAGTCTCTCCCCCTTTTCTTTTATAGTCTATACGGGCAAGCGGGGTGTCAAACGAGGCAAGGGATGGAATATTTATTAACAACTTGAGAGGACAACGATACTTTTTTACCTCTTCTTTTTTCAGGGTGATCGTGGAATACAGGTAAAATGACAGTTCTTAAGAAGTATCTTTTGCCCAATTTGCGTTCTTCAGTTCATTATACTATGCATTAGACGCTGGTTTCCATAAAGAAAGGTGCAAATGAATGCGTACCTTATAATTGAATTGTAAGCGGATGTTTGTGACGGCCTGGGGAACTTATTGTTTGAAGTCCTATGCTCTTTCAGTTCCAGTTTGAGGTCTAACCAAATCTATGTTGCTTTGTTATTCCTTGAGGTCAACCAATTTAAACAATTTGGAGGGAGTTACATGCATGTTAACAGCTCAGTGACGTTTTCACAAAGGTTGCAAAGGGTAGCCAGGCAATATCCACCCCGTTGCTAATGAAACCCTCGTGCAGATTTTAAAATATCAGGATTTGAGTAACTTCTTCGCTGCTTCCTCTTACATTTAGAACTCCTGCATTCGGTTTTATGATATGATTTTAATATTTCTACATGTGGTTGTATTTATTCAATACACTGCTAACAAATGCTTTTTATTGCCATTGATTTACTCAGGGAACGGAAGGTCAACGGGTAAGTAATTTCGTCATCTTCAAAAGTAATCGTTTTTTCATCGAAGGGCATAAACCAATTTTTTTTTTTTGCTATTAATTCGATTGGTGATTGTGTCTTTTATAAAATAAATTGCTTTCCACGTATTGACAGCATCTGATTTAGTGTAGCACATTTCCATCACTCTTCTTTTCGATAATTGAGCAGCTTGATATAATTTAATTTTTCAGCACAAATCATGTGTAAAATATTGGTGAACTGTTTTGCTGATGTACCACTTTTAGGAAGATCATTACGATCTGGAGAGCAACATGTTTGAACATTTATTGTGCCGACTTATCCTGAAATTTTTATTTCAATAAATAAAAAATAACTTATTGGCCTTGTGCATTGTGATTCAGGGTCATTATATGTAAGAGGTAAAGGTTGCTATTTATTTATTCATTTTGTTTTCTTTGGTTATTTTCTGTCTCCATGTTCATAGGGTGATCCTGGAGAGCCTGGATCACCTGGTCCATCGGTGAGTTTTCTTTCGTCTAATCGTTAAGTCCAGTACAAGGATATTTTATAGAATAATACCCTTGATTGTAAGTTAGGATCAATGACGATCACTTGCTATTTTTTTTTTTGTTTTTTTTTTTTGTGCTTCTTGAAAAAGCTTATTCTAGCCGGGAAGAGAGACATATACAATATAAGAAATATTTATGGTTTAATGCGTCGATCAATTCAATGCGGGCATAGACGACGGTCAAATGCCCGTGGGTCGCCCGAGGCGGATGTTGAAGCTTCGAATTGATCGGCGCTTTTAAGGCAGTGGGACCGAGAAGTTAAGGCGCTGTTCCTGTAATCTAGTTGTTAAGAACAGCAATTGTCCTTAACCAAGAATTCATATTTAACGTTTCTTCGTTTTCTCTGAATTTCAGATTGCCCTCAGCGATCTTGTGGTAAGTATTCATTACAAAAAACTTATTTTTTGAATTTCAGACTTCTGCGTTTTGCCAAGAGAGGATAAATCCTCTGATGGCATGGCTGGCTGGTTATGAAGATCATTAAACTTTTTTTAACTTTGTCTTTATTTATTGTTATTTTTTATCAGACATCGTCAGGGTACACTGGCTTTGGATCATTGACGGAGGCACCGCAAGATCCACCCCTTACGGCCGAAAAAGCGGGGACAGTAAATCTTTATAGAAGTCAAAAATTGGTGAGGATTGTTTCACTTAATGGTACTTGGTTGTAATTGAAATTGCCTCGTCCCTAACTAATCATTTCATGGATTTTCGAAAACCACCAATGCTTTGCAAGCAAATCATGTCGGGCGAACAACGTGTTTCCTTATTCGGCAAGATGGTGCCAATGCTGTGTTATGATTGGCTACACGAACGGGTTGGATGGAATCGCTTTTCCTGCTCGTCTTGCTTGTATCTCGTTTCATAAAAACTCAACAAAAATGACTTTGTAAGCCGCCAGCCATCGGCGATGAAAAATAACAATAAAGTATTTAAGAAAAAACATAAGAGAACCAGGTCTGTAATTATTTTCGACCTCTGCATGCTTTATTGATTTTCCACGTGATCTAATGTTAATGGCGTCATTCATTTGTTTAAAGGTTGACGATCCGGAGATTGATCCGGTAAGTTTGGGTTAACCCTTTAACTTCCATGAGTAACCAAGACAGAATTTCTCCTTACAAAATCAATACAATATCAACCAGACAAGTGATGAGAATAAAGAAAAATATTAACTTGGGGATTATTAGTTGATCCAATAGCAAATTCTCTAAACAAACCTCACAAGAATTATGTGGCAGACAGTAAGGAGAATTACTAATGAGATCTTGGGAGTTGGAGGGTTTGTTGGTTATATCCTTTACACCCTGACTCTCCTGGCTTTTCTTTACTCATCTCCTTGTCAAATGATAAATAACTTCCCTAGTTAGCGATCGTTTCCATTATTCTCATGAATTTGAGGTTCGATTCAGCGTTGATGCCTGTAGGAAGAAATAAAACGGTAATCATACTTAATGTTCAAGTTTAAGTACTGCGATAGTGTTCTTGTTACTCTTTTCTTTCAGTTTTTTATTTACTAATATACATCTTATACCTGATTTTTCATTCCAGCTATCAAACTTTGTCACTCTAGTAAAGAAGAAACTTACGATGATGAAAAAGCCAAACGGCACAAGTATATTTCCCGCGAGGACCTGTAAAGACTTGTACATGTCATATCCTGACCTCCCAAGCGGTATGATATCATAAGATATTTTTACGGGGTTTAATAAAGAGTAAGAATGAGAGTCGAATGTAATTCAGCATGAGTTTTTTTTTTTTTTTGCTTCAAAACCAATCGTGAATTGGATATTCTCGTTTTGCTGTGCATCAGGCAGTTTGAGTGTTTTTACATTTAGATCCCTTCAGGAGCCTATTACCCGGAGCCTCCATATCAATTGTACCCTTGAGTCAACCTTGTCCCGTATCTTTTTGTTTTTAGAACTGAGATATGTGGGGGGTTCTTTAAGTTCCTGCGAAAACACGCTGACTTTCCGCGCTTTTCGCCATTATTGTAATACTTTCGTGCGACCTGCATGTGACCTAAACAATAAAGGACCACAGCTCTCTTATGATTGGCTATTTTGTAAACACCCGCGAAAAACCCCGTGGGAAGTGCTTCTAAAAATAAAATGAAACGGTACAAGGTTGACTCAGAGGGTAAGTATGGAAGACGGAAGTTCCGGGTAATGGCTTCTGTTCCCTTTGATTACTGGTGCTATTTTTCTTTCTCCCATTGCTTACATGATAACTTTGGGTTTGGTTGAACAGTACAAAATTGAGATGTTCTTTAAGTTGATCGAATAGCTTCAATTTTGATTGAAACTAAGATTATTTACTTTTCCTTCGAAGGTTTTTATTGGATCGACCCTAATGATGGTCTACCTAACGATGCCATAAGGGTTCGATGCGAACAGCCCTCTTATTCAACTTGTCTCTACCCTAAGAGTGATAGTGAGGTACGAATTTCATCGGGTTTAATTTGCTTTTTTGCAACTTTATTGATATGTAAATACATTGAACAGAATGAGGAACGCTACTTTACGGTTGAACTTTAACCTGCTTGAGGCGGGGGGGGGGGGGGGGGGGGGGGGGGGGGGGGGGGGGGGGGGGGGGGGGGAAGGAGTAAAAGAGGGTATTCTACCCAGTATACTACCTTAAGGAAAGATGTTTTTCGAGAAAACATCTTTCTCTATTTATTTACTGAGCTTAAAACTTTCCATCTTTCTTATTCTATTTACAAACATGACGCTATCGACGCTGGTCCTAGCAGTATGCAGGACGCATGTCATATGAACTTCGTAATAGACCTCACTCACCGTTGAGTCTCTGTGGCTCAGTGGTAGAACATCGGAGGGCGGAATCCGAAGATTTGAGGTTCGATTTCTCATGGGGACTCAGAATTTTTTCTTTGTCCCACGTTTGTGACAAGATGAAAAACATATTTTACTTTCTTACCTCACTGCTTGATATTGTATTGACTTTGCGATGAGAAATTGCACCTTGATCTTTCCTGCGCGGGGTTGAAAGGGTTAAAGAGATCTTATGAAAGACGCTTTTGCTTAACGGTTATGGCGCTGGATTCCGAGGGTTGCTTCTTATAGGGACGGGTGTTGGGGTAGTTGGGGGGGGGGGGGGGGG